TGACTATACATAGAATAGTCTGTCAGTTTTACCCAGAAAACATTCATGCAAAAATCTGCTTCAAGAATGGTTTACAATAGTAATAAAAAAAATAAAACATCCAAGAATGTGAATACTTTTAACAGGCATTTTATGTAACACTGGCRGTTTTTATTTTATTTTATTGTTATTTAACCAGGCAAATCCCACTGAGATCCTTTGCAAGGATGGCCTGGGCCTGAAGGCAACCTATTGTACATGTTTTTGTGCTCTGGAAGCAATAAGAAGAACATGCAAACTCCACACAGAAAGACCCCAGGTCCAAACCAGGAAGCAAACCCAAACCCTTCTTGCTGTGAGGCATCAGTGCTAACGACTAAGCCATTGTGCATCCTATCCTATTCCCAGTAGACTTGCCTGGCCAGTAGAGACATAGCGGTGGTGTTAGCAACAGTCACTGCCCTGAAGATGTGAGGGATCTTGGAGCTCGTCTGGACAGTCCCAGTGTCTCTGCAGCTCAGTGTGGCACCATCTGCAGCCTGTGGTGGAGAGGAGACGGGGTGAAGAGTGCTAATTACATAAATATCCCAACCTGCATCTGCACTCCAAAAACCCTGGTGAAAGGTTCTAATATCATGGGAATAACAGAAAAAATGAACACAGGAGGTTTCTGTATAATTAGGTCACCTAAGACTGCGAGCTTAGACTGTGAGCAGACACTTTTTGTCTTTTTGTGAATATAGCTTCCTATGATGGATTTTGTTGTCTGATTATGAAAATGTGACTCAGAAAGAGGTACTGTTAACAAAGCAACACAAAATTTGATGCACACTCATCAGTCAGATGTCTTTATGGAAAACTTATTCTAGATGTTGCATGGCTGGACTTCAAAAGAATGTATCATCACATGTAATAAATCATTTCATAGAATGAATGAGGAAAGTGGCCAGATCATAGGTAATTCAGGATAAACACTGAGCTTGCACTGGAAATGCAATTGGAATTGGACAAAGTCAAACCGGTAAATTTATGCAGTTCTACAGACCTGATGAATTAGCTCTAAACTAAGTGTTAAATTGTCCTACAAGTGAGATTTTTCATAAATATCTTTAGACTTTAAATCTGCTTTTTGAGCTCATTTTAATAGCAGTTTTGTCACCATGATTGAGAATTAGGAATTATGGCTAGTTTTTTATAATATATTAATATAATTACGGCTAGTTACCAGTGGTTGGCACAGCTAACATTAGGGCTGTGTATTGGCAAGAATTTGGCGATACGATATATCCCGATATATTGCGATCCTATAAGCAAGGCGATATATCGCGATATATTGCGATTTTTTTTGTCCAAAAATTCTATTAAATAAAAACCTCTTACAGGGGAAAAAAATGAAAAACCAAAATTCATTGTCTCAGAAAATTCTAATATTACATAGACATATTTTGATACATTTAGCTGTGTTCTGCTTTGTATGTATTTTATTTTATTTGTTTCATATTTCTTATTTCATCCATGTTTTCAATTATTAGACTAAATTTGACAATAAATAGTTTGAAAATATATATTTTTGCAGCTTTTAGTTTATAATATTAATTTACAATATGGTCACCCAACACTTAACAATAGCCTCTAAGTCCAGAGGTAGAGTAGCCAAATGTCTGGCTCACTGCTGCCAACTAGTGGTCAGAGGCTGAACTACAACATAAAAATGAACAGCTGGCAGGAGAGTTGACATTTTAAACCTTAATAAAAAATCGATACAGGGCTTTCGAATATCGATACAGTATCAGGAAATGAAATATCGCAATATTTCAGTGTATCTATATTTTCTTACACCCCTAGCTTACATACAGTTACTGCTTTAACTTATTATTCGCWAACAAAAATATAGCTTTGCTAATTCTAAACTAGGGTTGGGCATAATCGTATCGTCTGCAATTATTCGTCAGAAAAACATTAATCGATTATTTTTTGGCACTTGACGATTAATATGATTAATGCCACCAGACAGATTGACTGGATAGTTCCCCGGTCAGTCCGCTCGGTGCTACTCTCCACTTCAAATATGACGAACATTTAAACAAAAGTTCTGTAATTTATTTATCAACACAATTTAAAATTTGAAGTACAGCCTGAAGTCTGTAATTTTGACACAGTTTGAAAATGATTTTTACGAAGAGCAAATCTTTTCCACTAAATTGGTCATGTGACTAGGACATAAAGTTGTCCAGGGACTCCAGAGGATTAATCGTCAAATTAATCGTTATCAGCCAAACACCACAATTAATCGTGATTAATTTTTTTGCCAATTTCGCCCAACCCTATTCTAAACATGTAAAAAAGTGGGAACTAATGTTAAACAGCTAAACAGGTGAATATTAGTAGGAGCTAACACTAACAGCTAATTGCTAACTGACATCAGTCCACGTAACAAGTCTTATTCCTCAAGCGGAAGACTGTTGAGACTAACACAAACACGATGATGTTGGATTGCTAGTTAGCTGTTAGCAGACTACAAGAGGAAGCTAACTGATCCACTAATGGTTTTCAAAGTTGCTACACGTGCAAAAAAAATCTATGACGTTAAATATTAGAGTCTAACAGGTCAACAAGCAACATAAAGTCTTCCACTCTCGCTGTGGCCCCTGTTGCCTCTCCCCTTCTGAGTTTCAGGCAACAAGACATAGACTCAGTTTTCTTTAAGTAACATCAAACCATTTAGTATCAATTAGTGCCAAGAGAGATGTGCAGCAGTGGTTTGGAATGAGACTGCACTGAAGGAAAAATGGATGATTTATAGATCCTGCCCCTCCTCTTCTCCTCGTTATGACTCACAGCCTCAGTTTTATCCATTTGTTTTTCTCTGTGTTTGCTCTCAAATTGTATGTTATCTTGTTTCCTCCCTCACGCTCCAGTTTTTCTTCTGCAACCCATTTTGGAGTCATTAATTTCTTCTTCTTGTCTTTTTCCTTTTGCCTCAGCCTTTCTTGTTGCTTGCAACATTCACATTTTCTTGTATTGTGTTATTTTATTGAAGAGACAGGAACACTCGGCTGAACGGTTCTCTAACAGGACCAGCTCCTAAATTGTTTGATTAGAGATWACTTGATTGTTACAATTAATTTGACAAGAGTCTTTCAATCATTTTGCCTTTTATACAAGCTATTATGTACATCTTGGGTGTTCCTGGCTAACTACTTCAGTTCACACTTTACCCTAGTATGCCAGACATAAAATGGGATTCGATCTCACCTCCTTCCTTCTCTACAAATCAAAGCAAAGATTGATTTAAACTGGCAGGCGGTAATGCACTCTCGTGCCTCWTGTGCGGGAAATTAACTGCTTATGCAGAGGATGTCAGCTGAGTGGTCTTTCAGTGTTGCCCAGAACACAGTCATGCAAAAATCTGCTTCAAGAATGTGGCCGTATGCCCCCTCTGTGCTCGGTATTTTTAAATCTCAGCATGTTCCTAATGTGTCATGGTTGAGTTCCCAGCTACACAACAGCATATCCAGAACTGACAAAGATGGCATTAAATATAAAAATGCCAGGGAATAAAGGTAAAATATTTGCAAATACTATAAAATCTGAATATGGTTTGGAATTGGTGAAAAAATATATATTTCAGGATGAAGTCCATTTATATGTTTTAAAATTAATGAAGTCTTCACTAGGGCTGTGTATTGGCAAGAATTTGGCGATACGATACATATCATGACAGAGGGGTCACGATACGATATATCCCGATATATTGCGATCCTATAAGCAAGGCGATATATTGCGATATATTGTGATTTTTTTGTCCAAAAATTCTATTAAATAAAAACCTCTTACAGTAGAAAAAAATGAAAAACCAAAATTCATTGTCTCAGAAAATTCTAATATTAAATAGGCATACTTTTGATACATTTAGCTGTGTTCTGCTTTGTATGTGTTTTATTTTATTTGTTTCATATTTCTTATTTCATCCATGWTTTCAATTATTAGACTAAATTTGACAATAAATGTTTGAAAATATATTTTTGCAGCTTTTAGTTTTTAATATTAATTTACAATATGGTCACCCAACACTTAACAATAGCCTCTACCTCAAGATGTAGAGGAGCCAACTGGCTGGCTCACTGCTGCCAACTAGWGGTCAGAGGCTGAACTACAACATAAATGAACGGCTGGCAGGAAAGTTGACATTTTAAACCTTAAWAAAAAATCGATACAGGGCTTTAGAATATCGATACAGTATCGGGAAATGAAATATCGCGATATTTCAGTGTATCGATATTTTCTTACACCCCTAGTCTTCACAGATGCTGTGCTATTATTAATTTGTTCTAGCTGTTTATRTTATCAGGTGTCTCCTCTTTTTTAACCAGCTGGACCCCGTTTATGGACGCTGCCGTGTTGATTTTTTACAACCAGCCTTGGCACTAGCCATTAGCTTAACCTAAGACTCTCCATGCGCCATCAGCCATTTTGCTGAAGTATCTGAGAAACTCTGAAAGATTTTCTCTAAATACAGCATCCCAGTTCATTTCAAACCTAACTGGACTGTTAGATAGAGACTGGTATATCCTAAGAACAAACCCCCCAAACACAACCTGAGTGGTATGGTATCTGAGGAATGTTCTGACCTCTATATTAGAGAAACTAAACAGCCTCGCCACAGACACATGGTTCAACAGAGGAGAAAACCTCTACAGGACAAGACTTGGATGTAAAACTTTCCCTCAAGTATAAAGGACACTCTGGTTTTGCCAGAGGTGGTCCATGCATGGGTTAGGCACCACATAAAACCACAACTGGCCAGCTGTAGCATGCCATCTTTAAAACAGTGCCATCATTACCAGACCTGGTCCACATCCAGTTGACAAACCACTTGCCATGCCAGCAGTGCCAGTTTGACACCAGATCTGGCCCACACCTGTCTGCTAKRTTGGGAGTTTCAAATTCAATTTAAAACCGTACAACGACACACTCCAATTTCGTATTGCTTACGAGGCCCCGGCTCAYGTAGTTTCTTTATCCATCCCCACTCAGCATAACCATAAACACTTTTCTGAGGTGTGTCTCGGATCAACTCGTTTTGTCGCTGTCTCTTTAAATTCAAACRAGACGCTTCACACCCCACCCCTCTCCAGTTTCCAGAGCRGTCCATTGTAGCTTGATAGAGGGGTGTATGACAATAGYGGCACAGAAAAGTTTTGTTTASAAATTAATTWAAATATGTCAACAGCAAAAGACTTGTTCATCCAGCTTTTCACGTTGGAGCCAGAGTCTGACTCAGAGTGAGAGGAAAATGAAACGATGAAATTGTAGTTAAGTTCACATCTTATTTAGAAGTTGCTGACTGTGATGTAATCGTTCAGAAAACGTCATAGAAAATAAAGAAAACTGAAAAATATAAAAGATATCTTTGCAGCACTGAGAGACAAAATTCCCATTTTCTACAGTCCTTGAGACTTTAAGTACACAACAAAATGTGTTTAACAACAAAAAAGGTGGATTTTGCGTATGTCCTCTTTAAAGTGAAAATAACTAGTCTACATATTGAGCACACAAAGTGCAACACTACATAATTTATGACTCTACAGACCGTGAGCAGGTTTTTCTTGTTTTTTAGTCTCTGCCATAAACACGTTTGTTAAAAAAAAGGCTAATTGAAGTTATTCTCACTCCAAAATTGCATTTAAATCCTTTTTATAAAATGAAAGGCTTGTTTCGTTTTAAGGATAAAAAAAGGACATTGTAAGAAAATATGTTTTGTTTTTTTAAGAAAAGAAAGAATCTTGCTGCTTTTGTGTTAATTATTGATTATAATTAATTATTAAGTCCATGTTGTTTCTATGTTGTACATGTTGTACTGGGTTTGCTGTATATCCTATTTTCTTTTTATTTTGCATTCAATGATGCTCTTATAGTTTACTGAGCATAACTTTATATTGTAAAGAAAACCAAAAGTTAATCAATTTGCTCAGGTTCTGTATGACTGGAACACTGCTTTTCATGGACCGCTTATGTTTTTTTTTTTTAAATGTGATGTTAATTAATATTGTCATTTAAAGGCACAGTGTGTAGGATTTGTTGTTTTCAGCGACATCTAGTGGTTGAGTGGTTGAATCATCCTCCCTGGTCCTCCCCCCACCCCCACCCCCGCTTCCAAACACTACGGTGTCTCTCAGGTGTCAAAAAC